GATTTTAAAAATTAGATTATTTCCGCAAAATAGAAGGACAAAATTAGGGCAAAAGATGATGACGTAGCAATCCGGGTTAACAGAACTCGGGGCGCTACAACATCTATATACCAAAAGATCACTATGTTGATTGAAGCCTAATGTCTCTTTTTTCACAATTCACAGCACAACAAGAACGTGGAGTTAAATTCAATCTGAAAATATTATCCAATCCCAAGATCCACAGCTTTCATGGTATCTCATACATGATGCACAGATATTGCTTAATGAAAACAGCAAGCAGAATACCATTCTTTTGTAATGTTAGTAACTCTTACATTAGTTGACTCCCTAAGTCCGCCATTTTCGGGGCCATTAAGACAACCATGGTTGGCCATCTTAACTTCATAGGATTCTTCATTTACAGGATAATTTTCTTCCATACAACCTTTTACCCCTGCAAATAAATGGACTATACTGTTAATCGCTGGAATGATAAATATTGCTGAAAAAACATTGTCTAATCATTATAACCGTTATACTTTTTTATGGGCTTCTGAAAGTGATTGCTGGATAAGTTCTCGGAGTGCCATGTGCTCTCTTCGTCACGTAGACTTAAGAAGATAATTAAAGCCTTGAATTTATAAATTCAACAAATGTTATAACCATTGCAAAGTTACTCATGCCAAAGAAAACAAATAGTTCTAATTTTTTTTAAGAAAAAAAGTTTCTATAGTTTTCACTCTGAAAACTACTTAAATACATGTGATCCATACCTTTCAAATAATGGAGGAAGGTTAAATTTCCTATAGAACTCATACCAACAAATAAAACTCTTCCACCAATCTCATTATGTGCACTTCCATTTTCCATTACATTTCGCAAATGAAGCACTTGATCAGTTTGTATCGAAACAAGACCCTCTGGAATAAATAAATTGGCTGGTCTCTTGAAGAATTCTTGGGCCATCTTTCTATGGATTCCTTTGTTCTGGAAGAGAGCCTCACAAGAAGAACAACATTTTGTTCAATTTTCCATCAAAAGTAGTGGGTCTATGCAAATCATTTAAGTGCGACTCAATTTTTTTTGCCTCAATTTTATTTAAAAATAATACTAAAAATCAAATAAAGAAAATTGAAGGTTCTAAAACCCCAATTCATATCCATGCAACAAATTCAATGTTTAAAATCCATAAAATTTAATGCTCATAAAATCAACACAAACTCAATCAAACACACAGTTATGTGCCTTCATGTTCTGATCTGCACTAACAAAACCCAAAAAGCTATTAACCTCAAATCTAAATCAAGCAGAAGCTATAGGTGTAAAGAGAGAGAGAGAGAGAGAGAGAGAGAGAGAGGGGAGCCAAAACTGAGTTTTGATAGTACTTTACATTTCAGCAATACATCTGTGTGTGTATATATCTGTGTTGAATTAAATAATGATTATGTTTTTAGAGTGAGATATAGGCGCCGTTCTTCAAGGGATGGGGTATTGAAAGAAACTCTCTATGGGTGTTGTTTTCTCTTAAGGTGACCAGATACTTTGTACAGAGTCCATGGGTACAATTCTTTCAAAAGGCAAATATTTTAGTACTCTGTACCACTATTTCATTTAATTAATAGCTATATTAAATAATTGAGACACGCTATTTAATTGGAATATAATGATGAATAATACACATGTTATTTTTGCTAGGTTCCAAAAGTGTGTTTCTAGAATGTTATTTCATAATTAAGATAAGTTCAAATTATATAGAAATCCTCAATCTATCAAAAATATAAAGAATCCCCCTAATTTTGAACATTACAATCTTAAACGTTACAGAAATCTCCCTCATTAGCAATATTAAATATTCTTTTTTCATTTTATTACTTTTTATGTTAGATTTAAAAATTAATTTTTTTTAAAAATTTTAAATTCGATAACATTATTCTAAGTTTAAAGACTTCTCACGAGTCAATTTCATCCTAAAAATATTTTTACCGAAAGAGGTTAATATTTCATCTTATTGTTTTGTTAGTAACTGAAAGGTAAACACAATGGTTGTATAATTGGAAAAAATCAATCACGAAAAGCTAATGTGATAAATGATTTTGAACTTAAACTTGAGTAATTATATGAAAAGGAGAAAATGTACTGGGCGCAATAAGCACGTGCTTATTTCTTATAGCTACTTTCAACATGAGGCTGCAGGTCGAAACGTGAGAAATAAAATATTTGGCTAGGTGGACAGTGCACATGTGTGGACCGATATACTTGTTGACATTGAACGAATGATAAAAAGAAACGAGGAAGCAACATATATATTTAACCATTAGGGTAAAAGTCATTAGAGAATAATAAGTGGGTTAAATATAGCACTAAGTGGACCATCGCCTAAAAGTCATCCAAGAGGTAGAGAAGTAGACTGAAAATTATCCAGGTTACATCATATCCCAGTAGGTTGTTTGACAACAATTTGCGTAACATGGCTCTTGTGATAGATTTACACAAACAACGGGACTTCCATAGGGATGTCCTCTCTGTTCATTCATTTCTACTATGTGCCGATGGTCTATCTAAACTATGACGATGGGCTGAGATGGAGAGTCAGATTTGGGGATTCAGTTGTTCAAGAAATAATCGTCGTGTTAGTCACTTGTTCTTCACTGGTGATAGTCTAATATTTTGTCGAGCAACTCCAGTTGACTGGTGTAAGTAAAGATATTTGGCTATTTATGAGATGGCTTCTGGACACAAACTAAATGTTTTGAAATCGGCTCACACTTTGCAATCAAATCAATCAGTGTAAAGGCAAGAACTAAAACTACTGTAATAAAGAAATGAAATTCCCCTATTGATTCCGACAAAGTGCAGTAAGGATGGAATAATCGGGGCTCAGATCTAAGCCCAAAATTCACAAATCAAAGCCACACAAATTGGAACAAAGATCTCTAAAGTAACCATGAAGAAACCGCCCAAGAATCACAAAGAGAAGTAGCCAAAATGGGACTGCACAAAGTGGGCAGAGAGCGGGAGACACAACTGGAGACACACAAAGATGTCCGGTCACAATTATAGTCGGTGATGGTCACTGGCGGTGACAGGAGGAGTGGGTTGCACAAAGAAATCGATTGGCAACCTCAAGTTAAAGTTGTCAAAAAGAGGCAACTGTTTTCTCTAGAGGAAAAAGGAGAAAACCATGTATGATGCATGTATCTCTCAACAAACAAAAGGGCCCTCTAATTGCCCACTAGAGATCCTTGGTCCGTCTTTCTATCTCGGGCTACCAATTGTAGTTTTGTGCTAATATAATTAAGTATTCAACCTCGAGCTTCAAAGAAGCATATGTAATAAACCGACCCGATTAATCATCATCGCCCTGGGTTTATTAGGTATGAATAACGTAAAAAACTTCCGCCTTGACGCCAATTACACCTACAAGAAAGAAAATAGCTTAGTAGTTGCACAATATGATTTCAAACAAATTGAAACATCGCGTATCTTTATTGATATTTAGAAGTATCAGACAACTTCTAACTTTACCAAGGGAAGCACCTTAGTGCCCATATGTACAGGGTTATAATCTGAATGCACTTTCTCAAGTTTTAAATTTTGAGATACTACGCCTCTAAAAAAATGTAGTCTAACGTCAATATTTTAAATGCGCTCGTAAAATACAGGGTTCTTATATAAATGGATGGTAGATTGACTATCAAAGTATACGAAAAATTATCACTTAGAATATCTAGTTCATTAAGTAACCCCCTAAAACACAAAGCCTCTTTAATAGCTTCAGTGGCTGATATATACTCAGATTTAGTAGTGAACAGATCAACAATATGTTGAAGTTGTGACTTCCAACTAACACAAGTGTCACACGAAGTCAACACATAAGAAGAAGTGGACTTCCTATTATTTGTATCTCCATTATAATCCGCATCTGTAAAATCCTATAGTTTCACACCCTCATAAACGGATTTATAAACTAATCCCTCATCAAAAGTACCATTCAAAGACCTGAGCAATCACTTTAAAGGCTCCAAATGTTTGGGGCCATGATTAGATATGTACTTGATTAAAACACTAACAATAAAGGCCAAGTCTGGCCTAGTGTAAACCATCAAATACATAATGGAGCCAATAACATTAGAGCAAGGAATTTTATTCACAAATTCTTTTTTCCTCATCATGAGCAGGTGACTGTTCGTTTGACAATGTAAAATGTTTCCAAGAGGCACAAAAGTAGGTTTGAAATCAATCGTGTCAAATTTCTTCAAAATCAAAAGCACATAAGGAGTTTGATGCACAAATAAGCAAGAATTGGACCTATCCGTGTTAATTTTAATACCAAAGATTCTCGTAGTATTTCCTAGGTGTCTCATGTCAAATTCTTTATTTGGTTTCACTCTTAGTCTTGTTTACTACTCTCATATTAGGTCTAATCAATAACATGTTGTCCACATGAAGTAACAAATACACACAATCATCGTTTTTTTGATGTGGTGCTGGTAATACAACTGCAGGTTATTGAGATTGAGAAATTAATTGTCTTCTTGTGGAATTTCTATGAAATCTACATCTATTTGAGGGTGTACATAGCGAACCAGTTAGAATTATTATAGAAACAATTTGATACTATGGAGGAAAGCGGATAGAATCACTCCTGATCATAGGCAAAACAAAATGTGGCAAGTACCACTGGCTAAGTGAAAGAATCTCAATGTTGATGCAGCAGTTAAGGATGATAGTGGTTACTGTGGCATCGTAGTTATTTGTCAGTGTTACAAAATATATAACATGTTTTTAAACAACAAATTGAGGCATAAGAATGAAGGTCTCTGCCACTTGCTCACTTGCATTTGATTCTTTCTATTTGTCATCATGAAAATGTCTCAATGCTTTTTATTCCTTCTACACATATAATTGCTAACAAGAAAGGTTTCTACTGCACGCTCCCTTCCTCTACGGGTGCATAAGTGTTAAGGATTGAAACCAACAAATAGAAGGCATTCAATTCTTTTTCTACGTTCCGTTCTCATATCTTAGGTTTTGGGAAAATTAAGCAAATATCTAACACAATAGCCAGTTACAACGCAGTGGAATAAAGTCTCCCCTTTCTAGTGCAAACATAATAAGAAGTTACATATAGAGCAATAATTAAAGTAAATGCCTGAAATTAATGACACGATATTTAATGTGGTTAGATAGTTTTCGTGATCCATAATTTGATAATACAGCTTTCTTATATTAATATAGAATAATCGTAAAAATCAAATCTGTTTTGTTCACATAGTTCGAATTCCATACGTAAATAGTAAACTTGAATTGAAATATATTCTCTATGGGACAATATTATATCTCATCAAAACTATTACTTGTCAATGATCCCGTGTTTTTGTGGAATTTTACCGAACAAGTTTTTGATATCAATAGTGTGTTTAAATTTATAGTTACACCAAATAGACCTATAGATTATATTTTTATTCACGATTTAGAATTGATTGCAGAAATCCACATGAATTGACTTATACATTTCATGTTAAAAGTTTTTGTATTGTGGTATCTTTATAGATACACTTATGGTCTGATATAGTCATCTTGATAGCAACACTTAATAGGGTTTAAATCTCATACAAAATTTTGTCATGCGGATGAAGATCACTATATTTATGCAAAGGATTGATGGTATGATGTAATTCAAATTTGATGTTGATGGCATTGTATTGGCTAAGAGAAGGGTGTATTGAGACCATTTTCAAATGGTTGTCCTCAATCTTTGAGACAAAGGACATGAGTTTAACGAATTGTATACTTTTCATTAAAAGATTAGTCTATTCTTCTCGCTCTATCACATGTGTTTTATATTATAAATAATGTAGAATTTCTACCTTATTAATACTACTATATCAAAAGACAACCATACAAGTTTTCATATATGTCCAAGGACTCCATAAGTACACAAGGAAATATCTAAAGAACCGTAT